TTTAAGGGGAATGGGAAAATGCATAGTTTGGGGAGGGAATAACGGTACTTAGAATATTTTTTCTGCTAATAAGGGGGTTTAGTTTTGCTTCTTTCTTTTTTTTTTTCTTGTTCTCGTGAGGAAGAGTAACTTGTTATTGATGAAGATGTATGCTCTCATGGATTTTCGGTATTCTGAACATGTCACTGTTTTAAATGTGTAGTTTCCCAATCAATTATTATCATTATTATTATTATTATTATTCAAACCAATGTTACGTATTACTTAACAAAAATATAATAATGATTATAATGTGTGCAATAGTATAAATAAATAAACTTTTTGATACTTTTGTTTTATTTGTTCTATGTACTCCAAACAGATATTCGGATGAGTTCAGTATCTGCTGCATTATGAAAGATGTTCCCGACTGCCGTCCGGCAACTGATCAGTTTTCTTCTTGTAAAGATCTCTTGAAGAGGGAAGCGTTGCGGATCCTGATGATGATTCTTGGAATTACCGCCCTCATCGGCAACTCAGTTGTTGTTATATTGCGCTTGCTGGAAAATAACTTTAATGTCCAATCCATACTCATAACAAGTCTTGCAGTATCTGACTTCTTGATGGCAGTTTACATGATAATCATAGCGGGAGCTGATCTTTACTACAGGGGTGTGTACGCAACGTTTGCAGAGGCTTGGAAAAACAGTTTCCTTTGCAGTTTCGCCGGGTCTATCTCCACATTATCCAGCGAATGCTCGGTATTTATGTTGATGCTTATGAGTTTTGACCGTGCAGTTACCATAGCTAACCCGTTCAGCAACATCCGACTCAATCGTAAAAGATGCATTAAGATTATCGGTGTAGCCTGGCTGGTCATTATTTTTATCAGTTTCCTCCCGATGTTCAACCATCTAAGCTTCATCAACATACCGTATTTCGGAAGTAACTACTATATACATATATACACACACATATATATATATGTGTATATATATGCATATATATATATATGTATATATACACATTAATTATATATATATATACATATATATGTAGTATAGTATATATGTATGTATATATACCGTATTCGTATATATATATATATATGTATATATACACATTAATTAACCTTAGTAGTATAGTGCTTGAGTAATACCATATTATCGTAGAGCGATTGCACATTGTATTCTGCCGTAGATATCGGCGCCCTACATAAATTCATGTATATTGAGTGATTAATTTTTCTTAGCTTATTTTATTCCATGTTTAAGAATAGTGTCACGAAAGTCTAGTGGAGCTGCCTTTTATGTGCCTGCGGGTTAGACAACTGAACAAAGTACAATGTACAACACAATTTAAAAACTTAACCCACACAACGTACAGGTAGGTACCATTCGCACTGTAGAAGAGGCGCAACTCATCTACCAATAATCTATGAATGGATTTAACAAAATAAAGCCATGGCATAATAAGAAAAAGGTTCTCATGAGTATACTTGCAAGTAAACGGCCAGAAACGCTTCCCACACTGAATAATCCCAAAGGTAGACGCGTACAGCTCCGCTCGTCTTTATGTTCACACAAGACGCTTCCTCTGACATGAACGACCTCAGACGCGTACAGTTCCGCTCGTCTGGTATACACGTTTGAACAGACTTGGCTTGAATGAAGCGACGATACACAACACGGCATCCGCAGTCGTCTCGATACTCAACCAACACTGTCTGGTCTAGATAATCAAGCCTATCCATAAAGCCTTTAAATAAAACAATCCATAATTCCACAGAGCGTGCCCCATTTACAAACACATGGTTAACAAACCACCATCTTATATATCACAATACAGTTACTACATGAATAAATGGACCTATACCGCTATAATTATCAATACTCACAAAAATTAGGCCTAGCATAGCAATATTTAATTGTACAGTTTTACTCACCGTCACAACGGCTAACCAGGAGTAAATTGTTTCAGTGTATTACCAAGGAAGGCCACTGTTATCTTTGGCTAACTCCCAAACAGATTCCACAACCGTTGACACTAAACTTTTACCACCTCCGTGGTTACTACCGGCACATACATGTCCGGCTGCCTACCTGCAGTACACTGAAACAAAACCCTCACTAGCATCACATAACCCCGTACCAAAACCAATTTGCATATTAGTCGAACCACCATCTGCACCAAGTAAATTTACAATAACAAATATGAAACGCCAAAGATGCCTTTAGGGACACAAAAAATTGCTGGTTTTCATGACAAATAGTAATAGGCCAATTTGTGAAAGTAAAACAATAGTCATTAGGAACTGTACGCGTCTGTACTACCCATCATGATATTCCTATAGAGTAGGACATTTATTCATCGCATCATTTAATGGCCTAGCAGATTAGTAATTAAATTAAGAATCACGGTTTAATTATAATGTAATGGTGAATTATATAGTGTCGTTGTATTACTCGACCACAAAAGTGGTAGATGGTTTTAACCACATGATGCGGCTTAGGCCTACCATACATTACATTAAGGCCTACATGATTCTGTGACGTTTTCATCATTTCGCTCCGGGTTACGGAACACTAGTATTAGAGGAGTAGATAATTATATACACTGTACAATAATACGAATTTAATTTTATGTTTAAGCCTATCCAATTGGTACGGTATCGACAGAACTACTTTTAGTAGAATAATATTGCATTGTATGGGCATATACTAGCGGTTGTGTTATTTTAACACAAGAATAATATTGTCTTAAGTTAACTTTAGTGATTCAATATCGCGTCAAAGCATTATCTTGCTAATAATAACTCTATACGGTCCCTGTATCAATGTCATTGTAATACAGTGCCTTAATGTTACCATTTTACATTTCAACTATCTTGTATTTTAGTAAGATATAGTGAAATAGACATTACTTAGGCGTTACTTATTATAAGCCTTCTGTTTTATGTATAACGAGACACTGGAATCATATAATACATACTGCACTCTATTTAAGAATCTTGTGCACTGTTTACTTATTTATATATTTATTTTGTTTTTAACAATCTTAGCTGTATCAATTTCTCTTGGAGTGAACTGTTATTAATTTATATTAAACGAAAAAAAAGATTTACTTATACGCACACGAGATAAGTGTACGGTTTATATTCATCATCATCATTATTATTATTTTAATATCATTTTATCATTATATTATTATTATTATTATTATTATTAGTATTAGTATTATTATTATTGTTGTTGTTTTCTTAGGGTTTAATTAATTTTTAATAGTTTAAATTTCAGTAATTGTAACGTTTAACAGGACTATGAAAACAGGCTTAAAAATACCTAATGTGTTTTATCCAGGTCAAATTTCTTCGAAAACATTTTTTAAAAAGTAATATGAGTGCATAACCCTGGCCAGTCCAACGACTTTAATGAGAATCATTTCGAAATAGTTTTTCGTTCCCTTGAAATATTATTTCGTTCCCTCGAAATATTATTTCTTTCCCTCGAAATGATATTTTGTTCCCTCGAAATATTATTTTGTTCCCTTAAAATAATATTTCGTTCCCTCGAAATAATATTTCGTGTATGGTACGCCCACAGTGCCTACAGCGTCGGCTGTTCTTCATGGATGGCGCCAGGATTTGCCCCGACGAAAGCTAAGTGGGTGTGGTCGAGCTACGATTAAAAGGGAACGATTCGAGGGAACGAAATGATTTCGTTCCCTCTAAATGATTTCGAGAAAACGAAATAATATTTCGTTCCCTCGAAATAATATTTCGTTCCCTCAAAATATTATTTCGTTACCTCAAAATATTACTTCGTTAACTCGAAATAGTTTAACATTTTCTTTAACCATGACCCTTTAGGGGCTCCGTATTATACTGTTTAAATTGTTGTTTAAAAAGTTAAAAAGAAAAGTGTACTTTACTGTAATTTGAGTGCATTACCTTCGCCAGTCTGACGACTGTGAGGAGAGTAGGTCATTTTACGTGACCACCTTGCGGACAAGCCAAAACTAACGAGAAACAGGTTGTACTTACACGTACTCTAGTTAAGTGTGGTTTATATATCATTGTTTTGTCGACGTTTAATATATAATATATTTATATTGTAGTTTCAGCGGCAGTTTGACGCGATATTGAATCACTGCGGTTTGGGCTTTCAATCGTAAGGTCGGGGTTTCGAGTCTCCGCTGTGCTTGTGTCCTTGGGCACTCATATATAGCTACATTGCTTCAGTCCACCCAGCTGTATCAATGGGTACCATCAGACTGCTGGGGATTAACCTGCGACGGACTAGTGTCCTGTCCAGAAGGAGTACAACTCTCATCCGCTTCACTCTACAGAAACATTCGGATAAGCTCCAGCCCTATGAGCCCCAGTGGTTAGGAAAGGATTTAGTTTAGTTTTTTTTTTTTTTTTTTTTTTTTTAGTTTTAGGTTCCTATAATTATAAGGTTTAACAAGACCATGTAAAACAGGTGTAAGATTCACCTGGTATGTTTAATCCTGTTTAAATTTGTTTAAAAAAATACTTTAAAATAAGTAATCTCTGTGGAAAGCCTTCGCCAGTCTAACGATTGTGAGGAGGGTGGGGTCACTATTACTTGACCATCATGCAGACAGGTTAAAACGAGAAAGTCTACGGCTTATATATTATTATCATTGTTCTATCGGCGTTTATTACCGTATATAATCTAATTTTATGTCGCTTACCGCAAATGATCGAATAGTGCCAATTTCGAATAAACGGTGGCTTATTAATTGTTTATGTCATTAATTAACAGTGAGTATTTCCAACTACATTTTTTAAAATTGTTTAAAAAAATTGAGAAAAACAAACATGATGTTTCGTGAATTATCATTCAAACCCAATTAAACAATTGATTTCTCACGGAAATAATAATACTGACATTGTGGAAAGTAATGCCTATTATATGTCCCAACATTTATCACATGAAAGGAACTATGGTATGGATACTTCCACTGGTGTTGATTAAAGACTATAGTGTGTATCGCTTGCCCTCATAGCTCAGTTGGTAGAATATCCGAGCGGTAATCGGAAGGTTTTGGGTTCGAATCCCGATGGGGACATATTTTATTTTCTCAAATATGTATTATCTTACAACAATTATAGTACACTGGTACACATTAATATTTTAGGCCTAATATAAGGTAATAAGTGCCTCTATATAAACTAAGGACTTCTAAAAAGAAGCCCAAAAAAAATATAAGCGCCATTTGGTGCGTGTTTGATCATTTTCGGTATGTAACTTTGTTGTTTAAGTAATTGGTAAAGGTAAACACACATTAGGCCTAAGCATTTATTTAGCACAGGGGTGGCGTTAGTGAAGCGGGGCAAGAGCACTTCCGTCTGAAGAGTTGCTTTTCCAGTTTGGGAGAGAAAACATTCGTCGGGAAGAAAGTGAAATTATACGTATTTTTTAGATATCTGGCCACGTCCACTGGCTAACGTCGGAGATATTGATCTTCCGTCGAGGGTATTGGACCCAGCTGTCGGGCAGATACTGGCGCCACCCCTGATTCAGCACGTTAAAAAAATATCAACGCAACTTTGAGCCCACTACAAGAATGGCTTTATTTATTATGTCTGTTTTACTGATGTATAAGCTAAACGAGAACAAATCGTTGCATTTATACTCAAATTTTACCATAATAATGTTATGTAGTGTTGGGAGAAAAGAAATGAAACATCGAAATTAAATATAGTTGTCGTTGAATATCACAGTGTATGATTGACTATTTCGTTGCGTTCCGTATTATTACAAGAAACTGATACCATAATTATCACATTCACATTCATTCAAATTTATTTGTAAAAAACACTAGTTTGGAAGTTCGATTTGGGTGTTATTTTCAAAATAGATATAAAAATGAAGGCCTACTCAAATCTGAAAATGATGCAACGCTCAATGAAAATTAGCAGAATATACATAACAATTTTCCTATTTTATTGAGATAGTGGACAGGGTGCATAACATGTTTTCTTAAAACATCTGATATTTGAAAAAAAAAAAAACATATTGCAGTAGAGTAAGCAACATTGAAGTTAAGATATTGTCAGTGGTCAATGGCTGTGCGCTTGTATACCGTAGCGCATATAACATTCGCATCTATGCGCTTTCAAGGACGACAAAAAGAATAAGAAAACCAGAATAAAGTGTTAAAGGTCAAAGAAATTGGTAGAAGAAAACCAACACAAAGATAGGGAAGTGATTAAAAAAAAAACTGAGTAGAGAGATAGTCAAATTAGAATGATTTATGAAGGCTCTTAAAGATCATCAAATTAGTCTCTTGAACAGATTGTGGTAGTGAATTCTACAGCTTGGGTTAACAACATTAAAGGACCTCTCTCCATACGTGTGTATGACAAGTAGGCACATGAAGGCTGTTAAGAGGGAACCTTAACATAACCGTTACATATTAATGAACTGAGTGTGATGATTTTCAAGACAAAAACACAAACCAAGTCACATATTATGAACATGTCAATAATTTAAAGTAGACAGAGGTATATTTAAAATATTTTGATTAGATTATTGACAATGAGCTCAATTTTTGGAATACTGTTAATCAATCATAAGATAAGAGAAATTAAGATTATAATATTTTTACAAACGCTATAATATTACAGAACACAAACCAAGTCACGGTATATTAAGAGGTATATTTAAAAAAAATATTTAGATTAGATTATTGACAATGAGCTCAATTTTAGGAATACTGTAAATCAATCTTAAGATAAGAGAAATTAAGATTATAGTATTTTTACAAACGCTATAATATTACAGTAAAACCTCTTTCTATAAAGAGACACCTTTTTACGAAGCTGTTTAAGGGACACGGTGATTTTTTTTATTTATTTTCCTAACACGTACGTATGCCTTATAAGTCGTACGTACGCCTTATGGGTTATTAAGGCGTACGTACGCCTTATGTAACCCGTACGTACGATTTAAGGCGTACGTACGCGTTATATAACTCGTAACCAATCCAGGCTACTTGACATTCGCACAAAAATGTTTTATTGAAACATAAGATAATTGTCGGCAATCGTAAATTTGGGGAAACTGTAACCAAAAATGAGAATTTATCTTTGAAAAAATAATGGCGTTAACGAAAGC